CAGATGAAAGAATAAATTAGAATAATTTTTTAGTGTCCTGGATATAACTTTTTACCTATCATTATTTGCAATTTCCATTATTTTCATCATTAGATTATAAAATGGTGAAACTCCACTTATAAGTTCCCAGTATAATACTCCTAAGCTGTATAAATCCGATTTTTTGTTTCGCTTAAAATATTTACCATTTAGAAGGTATTGTGGATCTGTATACCTGTGTAGTTGAGCTAGAGGAGGTAATATCATCTAAATTTTTTTATATACCAAAATCCGTAATTAATGCTTTACCATTATTTATCAGAATATTCTTAGAATACTATAAAAATTTAAAATAGCAAATTATTTAAATAATTAAAAAATATACTACGTATAACATTAAAAAATTAAAAAAGATATAATTTACCAAATTCAGAATGTATGATATTATTTTATATGCAAATATTTTAATCCATTAATTATTTCTTTTGAAATTCGGTTAAATTTAGCCCATCGGATTTTATAAAGACCATTTTTATTATCATTATTATTTTACAAATATGCTCTTAAAGTCAATTAATTAATTGGCACCATTATAAAATTATACGTTAATAGTTCTAAATTTATTGGAGAATTAAATTATAACCACTTATATAAATTCAATAAATAAAATTATTATACGGCTCCTAATTGTTCACCCATGATTTTTTTTACTGATATTTTCAACGCTAATCTTTTCACGGCTGATATTTTCACAGCGAACTTTCTTTTTTGTTAGATTTTATCATGGTTGTTCGTAAATTATCTATAAAGAATATAACTAAGAAAGGAATCCTAAAAAAAAGAAATTTTGATTTTGCGTGAAGAAAGCGTGAAAATCTTGTGAAAAATAGTATATAGTTACAAAATCATGAATGTTATTTCACGTTTATCATATCATTAAGCATCCCTAATCAGTCGAGATCTTATGCTATCTCGACTGATTAGGGATGTTGAATGATACCTATGATAAAACGTGAAATAACACTATCGCTATTACATATTATACCACCTGAATTCCCATATAATTTAATAATGTTAGGGTGACAAGTTTTAGCGTTAGCAAGACGCTTAATCTACACATAATTAAAAATAAAAATCGTAAGCGTAGTACTTTATTACGGAGTTTTTGAAATTTTTTCATCCGTAAATAGTTAAGTATTTGAACTTTTTAATGCATATGTTTTCCTTGAAACAGACTGATAATACTCTTGCTGATCCTCTAACTCCGATATTTTTATTACTGCCAAATTGCAAATAATGATAGGTAAAAAGTTATATCCAGGACACTAAAAAATTATTCTAATTTATTTGAAATGTTGGTCTTCTGATCCGAATTGAATTGAAGAACTATTATTAGAAATCAAGATTGAATTTATTATAAATAAAGATATAATTAATATTGAAAAATATTGAATCCTATCAGCATATTACCTCAAAAGCATTTAAACATAATATATAGTATTTAAATTACACCCTATGAAGACATCTACATTACAGATTCCTCGTAATGATCCTAACGATCTTTTAAACTCAGGTAAATCTCTCTTTTTTTCTTAGCATAAACTGCGTTTGAATATTTTTTGTCGGGGATGATGCTGAAATCGGATGATGCTGAAATTTTGACTTATTTTATTATGAAAATGTAAAATTT